ACGCTGCCAAGCTTGGTGGTGTTCAGAAGAACAGGTCTGTCGGAAAGACAGCGTCTGAATGAGCACCACCAAGCTTGGCAGCGTATATACTTAAATATATACTTAAATATACGCTGCCAAGCTTGGTGGTGTTCAGAAGAACAGGTCTGTCGGAAAGACAGCGTCTGAATGAGCACCACCAAGCTTGGCAGCGTATATACTTAAATATATACTTAAATATACGCTGCCAAGCTTGGTGGTGTTCAGAAGAACAGGTCTGTCGGAAAGACAGCGTCTGAATGAGCACCACCAAGCTTGGCAGCGTATATACTTAAATATATACTTAAATATACGCTGCCAAGCTTGGTGGTGTTCAGAAGAACAGGTCTGTCGGAAAGACAGCGTCTGAATGAGCACCACCAAGCTTGGCAGCGTATATACTTAAATATATACTTAAATATACGCTGCCAAGCTTGGTGGTGTTCAGAAGAACAGGTCTGTCGGAAAGACAGCGTCTGAATGAGCACCACCAAGCTTGGCAGCGTATATACTTAAATATATACTTAAATATACGCTGCCAAGCTTGGTGGTGTTCAGAAGAACAGGTCTGTCGGAAAGACAGCGTCTGAATGAGCACCACCAAGCTTGGCAGCGTATATACTTAAATATATACTTAAATATACGCTGCCAAGCTTGGTGGTGTTCAGAAGAACAGGTCTGTCGGAAAGACAGCGTCTGAATGAGCACCACCAAGCTTGGCAGCGTATATACTTAAATATATACTTAAATATACGCTGCCAAGCTTGGTGGTGTTCAGAAGAACAGGTCTGTCGGAAAGACAGCGTCTGAATGAGCACCACCAAGCTTGGCAGCGTATATACTTAAATATATACTTAAATATACGCTGCCAAGCTTGGTGGTGTTCAGAAGAACAGGTCTGTCGGAAAGACAGCGTCTGAATGAGCACCACCAAGCTTGGCAGCGTATATACTTAAATATATACTTAAATATACGCTGCCAAGCTTGGTGGTGTTCAGAAGAACAGGTCTGTCGGAAAGACAGCGTCTGAATGAGCACCACCAAGCTTGGCAGCGTATATACTTAAATATATACTTAAATATACGCTGCCAAGCTTGGTGGTGTTCAGAAGAACAGGTCTGTCGGAAAGACAGCGTCTGAATGAGCACCACCAAGCTTGGCAGCGTATATACTTAAATATATACTTAAATATACGCTGCCAAGCTTGGTGGTGTTCAGAAGAACAGGTCTGTCGGAAAGACAGCGTCTGAATGAGCACCACCAAGCTTGGCAGCGTATATACTTAAATATATACTTAAATATACGCTGCCAAGCTTGGTGGTGTTCAGAAGAACAGGTCTGTCGGAAAGACAGCGTCTGAATGAGCACCACCAAGCTTGGCAGCGTATATACTTAAATATATACTTAAATATACGCTGCCAAGCTTGGTGGTGTTCAGAAGAACAGGTCTGTCGGAAAGACAGCGTCTGAATGAGCACCACCAAGCTTGGCAGCGTATATACTTAAATATATACTTAAATATACGCTGCCAAGCTTGGTGGTGTTCAGAAGAACAGGTCTGTCGGAAAGACAGCGTCTGAATGAGCACCACCAAGCTTGGCAGCGTATATACTTAAATATATACTTAAATATACGCTGCCAAGCTTGGTGGTGTTCAGAAGAACAGGTCTGTCGGAAAGACAGCGTCTGAATGAGCACCACCAAGCTTGGCAGCGTATATACTTAAATATATACTTAAATATACGCTGCCAAGCTTGGTGGTGTTCAGAAGAACAGGTCTGTCGGAAAGACAGCGTCTGAATGAGCACCACCAAGCTTGGCAGCGTATATACTTAAATATATACTTAAATATACGCTGCCAAGCTTGGTGGTGTTCAGAAGAACAGGTCTGTCGGAAAGACAGCGTCTGAATGAGCACCACCAAGCTTGGCAGCGTATATACTTAAATATATACTTAAATATACGCTGCCAAGCTTGGTGGTGTTCAGAAGAACAGGTCTGTCGGAAAGACAGCGTCTGAATGAGCACCACCAAGCTTGGCAGCGTATATACTTAAATATATACTTAAATATACGCTGCCAAGCTTGGTGGTGTTCAGAAGAACAGGGCTGTCGGAAAGACAGCGTCTGAATGAGCACCACCAAGCTTGGCAGCGTATATACTTAAATATATACTTAAATATACGCTGCCAAGCTTGGTGGTGTTCAGAAGAACAGGTCTGTCGGAAAGACAGCGTCTGAATGAGCACCACCAAGCTTGGCAGCGTATATACTTAAATATATACTTAAATATACGCTGCCAAGCTTGGTGGTGTTCAGAAGAACAGGGCTGTCGGAAAGACAGCGTCTGAATGAGCACCACCAAGCTTGGCAGCGTATATACTTAAATATATACTTAAATATACGCTGCCAAGCTTGGTGGTGTTCAGAAGAACAGGTCTGTCGGAAAGACAGCGTCTGAATGAGCACCACCAAGCTTGGCAGCGTATATACTTAAATATATACTTAAATATACGCTGCCAAGCTTGGTGGTGTTCAGAAGAACAGGGCTGTCGGAAAGACAGCGTCTGAATGAGCACCACCAAGCTTGGCAGCGTATATACTTAAATATATACTTAAATATACGCTGCCAAGCTTGGTGGTGTTCAGAAGAACAGGTCTGTCGGAAAGACAGCGTCTGAATGAGCACCACCAAGCTTGGCAGCGTATATACTTAAATATATACTTAAATATACGCTGCCAAGCTTGGTGGTGTTCAGAAGAACAGGTCTGTCGGAAAGACAGCGTCTGAATGAGCACCACCAAGCTTGGCAGCGTATATACTTAAATATATACTTAAATATACGCTGCCAAGCTTGGTGGTGTTCAGAAGAACAGGGCTGTCGGAAAGACAGCGTCTGAATGAGCACCACCAAGCTTGGCAGCGTATATACTTAAATATATACTTAAATATACGCTGCCAAGCTTGGTGGTGTTCAGAAGAACAGGGCTGTCGGAAAGACAGCGTCTGAATGAGCACCACCAAGCTTGGCAGCGTATATACTTAAATATATACTTAAATATACGCTGCCAAGCTTGGTGGTGTTCAGAAGAACAGGGCTGTCGGAAAGACAGCGTCTGAATGAGCACCACCAAGCTTGGCAGCGTATATACTTAAATATATACTTAAAATACGCTGCCAAGCTTGGTGGTGTTCAGAAGAACAGGGCTGTCGGAAAGACAGCGTCTGAATGAGCACCACCAAGCTTGGCAGCGTATATACGTAAATATATACTTAAATATACGCTGCCAAGCTTGGTGTTGTTCAGAAGAACAGGTCTGTCGGAAAGACAGCGTCTGAATGAGCACCACCAAGCTTGGCAGCGTATATACTTAAATATATACTTAAATATACGCTGCCAAGCTTGGTGTTGTTCAGAAGAACAGGTCTGTCGGAAAGACAGCGTCTGAATGAGCACCACCAAGCTTGGCAGCGTATATACTTAAATATATACTTAAATATACGCTGCCAAGCTTAGTGGTGTTCAGAAGAACAGGGCTGTCGGAAAGACAGCGTCTGAATGAACACCACCAAGCTTGGCAGCGTATATACTGAAATATATACTTAAATATACGCTGCCAAGCTTGGTGTTGTTCAGAAGAACAGGGCTGTCGGAAAGACAGCGTCTGAATGAGCACCACCAAGCTTGGCAGCGTATATACTTAAATATATACTTAAAAATACGCTGCCAAGCTTGGTGTTGTTCAGAAGAACAGGGCTGTCGGAAAGACAGCGTCTGAATGAGCACCACCAAGCTTGGCAGCGTATATACTTAAATATATACTTAAATATACGCTGCCAAGCTTGGTGGTGTTCAGAAGAACAGGTCTGTCGGAAAGACAGCGTCTGAATGAGCACCACCAGGCTTGGCAGCGTATATACTTAAATATATACTTAAATATATGCTGCCAAGCTTGGTGTTGTTCAGAAGAACAGGGCTGTCGGAAAGACAGCATCTGAATGAACACCACCAAGCTTGGCAGCGTATATACTTAAATATATACTTAAATATACGCTGCCAAGCTTGGTGTTGTTCAGAAGAACAGGGCTGTCGGAAAGACAGCGTCTGAATGAGCACCACCAAGCTTGGCAGCGTATATACTTAAATATCTACTTAAATATACGCTGCCAAGCTTGGTGGTGTTCAGAAGAACAGGTCTGTCGGAAAGACAGCGTCTGAATGAGCACCACCAGGCTTGGCAGCGTATATACTTAAATATATACTTAAATATACGCTGCCAAGCTTGGTGTTGTTCAGAAGAACAGGGCTGTCGGAAAGACAGCGTCTGAATGAACACCACCAAGCTTGGCAGCGTATATACTTAAATATATACTTAAATATACGCTGCCAAGCTTGGTGGTGTTCAGAAGAACAGGTCTGTCGGAAAGACAGCGTCTGAATGAGCACCACCAGGCTTGGCAGCGTATATACTTAAATATATACTTAAATATACGCTGCCAAGCTTGGTGTTGTTCAGAAGAACAGGGCTGTCGGAAAGACAGCGTCTGAATGAGCACCACCAAGCTTGGCAGCGTATATTTAAGTATATATTTAAGTATATACGCTGCCAAACCTGGTGGTGCTCATTCAGACGCTGTCTTCCCGACAGACCTGTTCTTCACCTGAGGACGGCTGCTTGCGTTGTGGCCGAATGTTTTCTTTTTATTATTTTATAATGTTTTATTATTTATTATTTTATTACGTTTTATTTTTATTATTTATAATGTTTCATTTTTATTATTTTATTATGTTTTATTTGTATTATTTTATAATGTTTTATTTTTATTATTTTATTATGTTTTATTTTAATTGTTTTATTTTTATTATTTTATTATTTCCCTTCTACGTGACTTTACCGAAAGAACCAAGAGAATGGACCGTTGGCAACGCGCGCGTTTAGTGCAACTCGCCGGCTTATATGCCGCGGTCACAGCCGTTGTACCCAGAGTCTCAAGCCAAACGTTGACCTCCGGATAGCTGCTCCTGAGGTCTTGCAGCGTGCACAGGAGCTGATGGCATTTCTTCTCCTCTCCGTCGATGAAGTGGTCGAGCAGGAAACCCGCACGCTCCAGTTCGCAGGAAATGCTCCGGGCTCTGGAGAGAATCTCCGCGGAGAGGAGTTGCTTCTTTTCCAGCTCTCTGAGCAGAGGCGACGAGTCCTTGCCGAGCCAACGCTTCAACTCGGGTTTCTTGCCTCGGATCACGTGAAGAGCGTTGCCAGGAACAACCACGATGCGGTTATCTGCGTGAAGAAAACCACCACAAGTCGTTTTAGTTTGACGCTTTGAAGGCGGCACTCACCGTCCACAATCTTCTCCTGCCTTGTCATCTCACTCTACTCCCCTCCACGCACTCTCCTACCTCTCCCATCTCATCTCACTCTACTCCCCTCCACGCACTCTCCTGCCTCTCCCCTCTCATCTCACTCTACTCCCCTCCACGCACTCTCCTGCCTCTCCCCTCTCATCTCACTCTACTCCCCTCCACGCACTCTCCTGCCTCTCCCCTCTCATCTCACTCTACTCCCCTCCACGCACTCTCCTGCCTCTCCCCTCTCATCTCACTCTACTCCCCTCCACGCACTCTCCTGCCTCTCCCCTCTCATCTCACTCCACTCCCCTCCACGCACTCTCCTGCCTCTCCCCTCTCATCTCACTCCACTCCCCTCCACGCACTCTCCTGCCTCTCCCCTCTCATCTCACTCCACTCCCCTCCACGCGCTCTCCTGCCTCTCCCCTCTCATCTCACTCTACTCCCCTCCACGCACTCTCCTGCCTCTCCACTCTCATCTCACTCTACTCCCCTCCACGCACTCTCCTACCTCTCCCCTCTCATCTCACTCTACTCCCCTCCATTCACTCTCCTACCTCTCCCCTCTCATCTCACTCTACTCCCCTCCACTCACTCTCCTACCTCTCCCCTCTCGTCTCACTCCACTCCCCTCCACTCACTCTCCTGCCTCTCATCTCACTCTACTCCCCTCCATTCACTCTCCTACCTCTCCCCTCTCATCTCTCTCTACTCCCCTCCACGCACTCTCCTACCTCTCCCCTCTCATCTCACTCCACTCCCCTCCACTCACCAGAGGTGTGGACTCGAGTCATGTGACTTGGACTCGAGTCAGACTCGAGTCATGAATTTGATGACTTCAGACTCGACTTGGACTTGCATAACAATGACTTTGTCCCACCTCTGCCACTCACTCTCCTACCTCTCCCCTCTCATCTCACTCTACTCCCCTCCACTCACTCTCCTACCTCTCCCCTCTCATCTCACTCTACTCCCCTCCACGCACTCTCCTACCTCTCCCCTCTCATCTCACTCCACTCCCCTCCACGCACTCTCCTACCTCTCCCCTCTCATCTCACTGTACTCCCCTCCACGCACTCTCCTACCTCTCCTCTCTCATCTCACTCCACTCCCCTCCACGCACTCTCCTGCCTCTCCCCTCTCATCTCACTCCACTCCCCTCCACTCACTCTCCTACCTCTCCCCTCTCATCTCACTCCACTCCCCTCCACGCACTCTCCTACCTCTCCCCTCTCATCTCACTCTACTCCCCTCCATTCACTCTCCTGCCTCTCCCCTCTCATCTCACTCTACTCCCCTCCACGCACTCTCCTACCTCTCCCCTCTCATCTCACTCTACTCCCCTCCACGCACTCTCCTGCCTCTCCCCTCTAATCTCACTCTACTCCCCTCCACGCACTCTCCTGCCTCTCCCCTCTCATCTCCCTCCACTCCCCTCCACGCACTCTCCTACCTCTCCCATCTCACTCCACTCCCCTCCACGCACTCTCCTGCCTCTCCCCTCTCATCTCACTCCACTCCCCTCCACGCACTCTCCTGCCTCTCCCCTCTCATCTCACTCCACTCCCCTCCACGCACTCTCCTACCTCTCCCCTCTCATCTCACTCCACTCACCTCCACGCACTCTCCTACCTCTCCCCTCTCATCTCACTCCACTCCCCTCCACGCACTCTCCTGCCTCTCCCCTCTCATCTCACTCCACTCCCCTCCACGCACTCTCCTGCCTCTCCCCTCTCATCTCACTCTACTCCCCTCCACGCACTCTCCTACCTCTCCCCTCTCATCTCACTCCACTCCCCTCCACGCACTCTCCTACCTCTCCCCTCTCATCTCACTCCACTCCCCTCCACGCGCTCTCCTGCCTCTCCCCTCTCATCTCACTCTACTCCCCTCCACTCACTCTCCGACCTCTCCCCTCTCATCTCACTCCACTCCCCTCCACGCACTCTCCTAACTCTCCCCTCTCATCTCACTCCACTCCCCTCCACGCACTCTCCTACCTCTCCCCTCCCATCTCACTCTACTCCCCTCCATTCACTCTCCTACCTCTCCCCTCTCATCTCATTCTACTCCCCTCCACGCACTCTCCTGTCTCTCTCCTCTCATCTCACTCCACTCCCCTCCACGCACTCTCCTACCTCTCCCCTCTCATCTCACTCTACTCCCCTCCACTCACTCTCCTACCTCTCCCCTCTCATCTCACTCCACTCCCCTCCACTCATTCTCCTACCTCTCCCCTCTCATCTCACTCTACTCCCCTCCACGCACTCTCCTACCTCTCCCCTCTCATCTCACTCTACTCCCCTCCACGCACTCTCCTGCCTCTCCCCTCTCATCTCACTCTACTCCACTCACTCTCCTGCCTCTCCCCTGTCATCTTACTCCACTCCCCTCCACGCACTCTCCTACCTCCCCCCTCTCATCTATTAAAACTATTTTTATACCAGGTAAGGTCCCATTGAGCTGTACAGTTCTGTTTCAGAAGCGACCCTTCTATCACAAATGATAGCACCTCAACGAGGTGGCACAGGCAATGTCCATGCTCTTATGGAAGAACATTCCACGTTGTACATCGTTTAGTTATGAGTAGCAACTTTACAGTCCTTTTCCACAACACATATTGGAGACCCCTCTCCATAACTGTAATCGTACTAGGCTTTTTAAAAAATCATATTTGATAGTGTTTAAAGTATAATAAATGTACGTAAATGTTTTATACATTTCTTTTAGATATGTTTGTAATGTTAGGCTTAGGGGATTGTTCCTAGCGACACATCACATTTTATTGTTGTAGTAGATTAGTAATCAGTTAATTAGCATTGTTTCCTCTACAAGGAATTGTACTTGTAAGACGTTTCACTTAATAATACGCTTTACTCTCCCAACACACTGGTGAGCTGAAGTAGTAACTAATTGGCGTTTTGTTTATGTAACAAATCCCTTACGAACTGTCTGTCAGGTGGTGGAGAGTTACGACACATTTATACTTGCACGATCTAACCCCAAAAACTATATTATGTATACTATTGTGTCCCGAAAGCCTACTAGTTAAACTATTATTATTATAACGTAACCACGAAGCTTTAGTCAGCATTTTAACGTTAGTCGTGGGGTCCTATGGGAGGTGAAACAATAACTGAACAAGTATAACCCGTAAAAACAAAGTTTTTCACTCTAAATCCTTTATATGCGTGGCGGCTAGAGTCCTCTCGTCCTCTGGCTTGAGATGGCTGCCACCTATGGGTCAGATGATTGTCTGCCAGTATTAAGCAATTGGTAATTAAATATTTAATTTGTTTTCCCTAAAAAGTGTAAAATTTTGGTAAAATTTTAATTTCACGAACATTAATTGTCTCGCACAACGAGTCTGTGTGCAAAATGTCAGCTCGATTGGATCACGGGAAGTGGGTTAAAAAACGACCGAAAGATTTGCATGGTCGCAAGCAAGCAAGCAAGCACGCAAGCATGCGAACTTAATATAAAGGATTTAAAAACCCATGTCACTGTTAACCGAGGTACCGCTGTATACATTTTGGCAGTCGCCTACAGTATAGAGTACTGTACTCAGTAAATAGGCTTTCTTTTTCCCACTGCTGGCTATGCCTATGCTTGCTGTTGACGTGAAGTGTGTTTTATATCGTTGCTTGACTTGCCACGGACAGTTGGAGAACCGGTTGCACCCGGACATTCTGTAACAACAAGCACACGTTGGAAACGACAGTGAAAATGTCACAATTCTTTGTTTTTTAGCCGTTGCAGCTTCACGCGTGAAAACACACATCTCATCAAAAATCACGTGGGGCAGGGAAGGGTGAACCAACAGGCAGTGGGACATATGAGGCCCACGACTTCGTAGTCTGAGCGATGTAAACGTTGAGTTTTTTCTTCTTGGTTCTGTAAATAATAAAATAACAAAAACATAATAAAATACAATTCTCACGACGGTTCGGCCACAACGCAAGCAGCCGTCCTCAGGTGAAGAACAGACCTGGTCTCCACCTGAGGACGGCTGCTTGCGTTGTGGCCGAAACGTCGTGAGAATTGTATTTTAGTATGTTTCATTTTTATTATTTTATTATTTCCATTCTACGTGACTTTACCGAAAGAACCAAGAAGATGAATCCCTGCAGTCACGAAAGCTTTAAATCGAAATTTAACGTTGAGTTTATGACACATTTACGTCATTTCACCGCCCCCCCCCTCCCACCCAAAAGAACGTTACTATGAGTAATGTTGATCGCGAAAGCCTCTATGACTACGGTGTTACATTTTAAAATAAACTTCTGAGCCACCAACCAGAGGTCGCAAACGGGTTTTGATTCCTTACCCGTACCCGGCCGCACCAGGGTTGCAAACAGGTACCCGTACCTGGCCGTACCCGTACCCTACCCATACCCGATACCCGTACCCTACCCGTACCCGGCCGGGTATCGGGTAGGGTACAGGTATCGGGTACCCAATTGCGACCTCTGGGATGAAGCCATGTTGCAGGCGCGGGTGGGTTGATTCTAGGAACTTGAATTGTGAGAAGAGACAAGACGTTGGGAAATGAGTGACAAACGGTGACTCACCAGTGACTCACGGCCTACCCGTACCCGTACCCGGCCACACCAGGGTCGCAAACGGGTACCCGTACCCGTACCCGGCCGGGTATGGGTAGCCGGGTATCGGGTAGGGTACGGGTATCGGGTACCCGGTTGCAAACTCTGCGACCAACTCTCAAGGGATGCCGAGCCTGGCTCCGTGCCTCAGAGTTGCGGTTATTTACGTCCATAAAATCTTGTGCGTGTGGTAAATTGCAATTATTATTAATATTATCATCATTACCTTGGCAACACAATCTGTACAACAGTATCGATTTAAAGCTTTCGTGACTGCAGGGATTCATCTTCTTGGTTCTTTCGGTAAAGTCATCACGTAGAATGGAAATAATAAAATAATAAAAATTAAACATAATAAAATAATTCTCACGACGTTTCGGCCAAAACGCAAGCAGCCGTCCTCAGGTGAAGAACAGGTCTGTCGGGGAGACAGCGTCTGAATGGACGCTGTCTCCCCGACATTCAGACGCTGTCTCCCCGACAGACATGTTCTTCACCTGAGGACGGCTGCTTGCGTTGTGGCCGAAACGTCGTGAGAATTGTATTTTATTATGTTTCATTTTTATTATTAGATTATGAATCTTGTTGGTTCTTTCGGTAAAGTCACGAAGAAGGGAAATAATAAAATAATAAAAATAAAACATAGTAAAATAAGTCGGACGCTGTCTCCCCGACAGAACTGGTCTTCACCTGAGGACGGCTACTTGCGTTGTGGCCGAAATGTCGTGAGAATTATTTTATTACGTTTAATTTTTATCATTTTATTACTTCCCTTCTACGTGACTTTACCGAAAGAACCAAGAAGATGTACAACAGTAGTAGCGTCACTGCAAGGACCTCTTGATACATCGGTCGAAATGAACACGGCTTCGGTTTGCTAGACCACTGGGTCACGTCACAACCGCTGCGATTGTTAATGTCGTTGACCCCTTCAAGTTCCGAGACGTTTGCAAGCAGCTTGGCGTCCATTTTGTTTAGAGAGGCATGGCAGCGGCGCCATTTTGTTTAGAGAGACGTGGCAGCGACGCCATTTTGTTTAGAGAGGCGTGGCAGCGGCGCCATTTTGTTTAGAGAGACGTGGCAGCGGCGCCATTTTGTTTAGAGAGGCGTGGCAGCGGCGCCATTTTGTTTAGAGAGGCGTGGCAGCGACGCCATTTTGTTTAGAGAGGCGTGGCAGCGGCGCCATTTTGTTTAGAGAGGCGTGGCAGCGGCGCCATTTTGTTTAGAGAGGCGTGGCAGCGCCGCCATTTTGTTTAGAGAGGCGTGGCAGCGACGCCATTTTGTTTAGAGAGGCGTGGCAGCGGCGCCATTTTGTTTAGAGAGGCGTGGCCGCGGCGCCGTTTTGTTTAGAGAGGCGTGGCAGCGACGCCATTTTGTTTAGAGAGGCGTGGCAGCGGCGCCATTTTGTTTAGAGAGACGTGGCAGCGGCGCCATTTTGTTTAGAGAGGCGTGGCAGCGGCGCCATTTTGTTTAGAGAGACGTGGCAGCGACGCCATTTTGTTTAGAGAGACGTGGCAGCGGCGCCATTTTGTTTAGAGAGACGTGGCAGCGGCGCCATTTTGTTTAGAGAGACGTGGCAGCGACGCCATTTTGTTTATAGAGACGTGGCAGCGACGCCATTTTGTTTAGAGAGGCGTGGCAGCGGCGTCCATTTTGTTTAGAGAGGCGTGGCAGCGGCGCCATTTTGTTTAGAGAGGCGTGGCAGCGGCGTCCATTTTGTTTAGAGAGGCGTGGCAGCAGCGTCCATTTTGTTTAGAGAGGCGTGGCAGCGGCGCCATTTTGTTTAAAGAGGCGTGGCAGCGGCGTCCATTTTGTTTAGAGAGGCGTGGCAGCGGCGTCCATTTTGTTTAGAGAGGCGTGGCAGCGGCGCCATTTTGTTTAGAGAGGCGTGGCAGCGGCGTCCATTTTGTTTAGAGAGGCGTGGCAGCAGCGTCCATTTTGTTTAGAGAGGCGTGGCAGCGGCGCCATTTTGTTTAGAGAGGCGTGGCAGCGGCGTCCATTTTGTTTAGAGAGGCGTGGCAGCGGCGTCCATTTTGTTTAGAGAGGCGTGGCAGCGGCGTCCATTTTGTTTAGAGAGGCGTGGCAGCGGCGCCATTCTGTTTAGAGAGGCGTGGCAGCGGCGTCCATTTTGTTTAGAGAGGCGTGGCAGCGGCGCCATTTTGTTTAAAGAGGCGTGGCAGCGGCGCCATTCTGTTTAGAGAGGCGTAGCAGCGGCGTCCATTTTGTTTAAAGAGGCGTGGCAGCGGCGTCCATTTTGTTTAGAGAGGCGTGGCAGCGGCGCCATTTTGTTTAGAGAGGCGTGGCAGCGGCGTTTATTTTGTTTAGAGAGGCATGGCAGCGGCGTCCATTTTGTTTAGAGAGGCGTGGCAGCGGCGCCATTTTGTTTAGAGAGACGTGGCAGCGACGCCATTTTGTTTAGAGAGGCGTGGCAGCGGCGCCATTTTGTTTAGAGAGGCGTGGCAGCGGCGCCATTTTGTTTAGAGAGGCGTGGCAGCGACGCCATTTTGTTTAGAGATGCGTGGCAGCGGCGCCATTTTGTTTAGAGAGGCGTGGCAGCGACGCCATTTTGTTTAGAGAGACGTGGCAGCGACGCCATTTTGTTTAGAGAGACGTGGCAGCGACGCCATTTTGTTTAGAGAGGCGTGGCAGCGGCGCCATTTTGTTTAGAGAGACGTGGCAGCGACACCATTTTGTTTAGAGAGACGTGGCAGCGACGCCATTTTGTTTAGTGAGGCGTGGCAGCGGCGTCCATTTTGTTTAGAGAGGCGTGGCAGCGGCGCCATTTTGTTTAGAGAGACGTGGCAGCGACGCCATTTTGTTTAGAGAGGCGTGGCAGCGACGCCATTTTGTTTCTACGACGCCATCGGTACTCACCGCAGAGAACTGTAGCAACACGACCACCGCCACTCTACGACAGCCGGTGCACCAAAACTGTGCCACACACGCTCTGCTGCATGGCGGTGTGGGAGCCTCTGTTCCCATCAAGTTACTTGATACGCTTAGGTTTTTTCAGGTAAAGGTAAGTAGGTGAAAAATAAGTAATAAAAATAAATAATAAAAGTAATAGAAATCTATTAGTATTTATATTCCTAGTTTTTTTAAATTATATATATATTTTATTTAGTTTTATAATAGAAATCTAGTATTATTTGTATTATTTTCTATCATGTTTTATTTTATTTATTTATATAATCGAAATCTAGTAGAAGTTTTCAGCATACGAATTTTTATTATTTATTTAAATAATAGAAAGCTAGTATTATTTCTATAATTTTTTTGTATTTGGCATTTTTATTATTTATTTATATACTAGAAATATAGTATTATTTCTATAACTTAAAAAAATTGTCTTTTTATTATTTATTTATATAATAGAAATCTTGTATTATTTCTATTATTTTTAATTATTTTTAATGGTTATTATTTTATTATTATATTTTACCTACGTGACTTTACCGGAAAAAACCCAAGAGTATGAATCCTTGCAGTCACGAAAGCTTCGCATCTAGAATTAAAGTTACTTGAATTTTAGTTTTGTTCCCAGTTCCATTTCAGAACGGAATTGAATCGGAAGGAAAACTGATGACGTACACATACGTACACGTACCTCATTGGAACGGGAAAGGGTTATTAAAGGTGCATCGGGTAGTAACAATGAAGACACCTAAAGCATTAACCAGGTTGGCTGCTCAACCTCAAAACTACGACCTCTGAGCACAATACATTGCGCCGAGCTCACTTAGCTTCTAGATTTAAAGCTGTTCGTGACTGCAGGGATTCATCTTCCTGGTTCTTTCGGTAAAGTTACGCAGAAGTGAAATAATAAAATAATAAAAATATAAAACAATAAAATTCTCACGACGCTTCGATTGCAACACAAGCAGCAATCATCATCAGGTGTGAAAACCACAGCACGAACATTTGAAGAAAAAAAACATGAATTTCGATGTAAAGCTTTCGTGACTGCAGGGATTCATATTCTTGGTTCTTTCGGTAAAGTCACGTAGAAGGGAAATAATAAAATAATAAAAATTAAACATAATAAGATAATTCTCACGACGTTTCGGCCACAACGCAAGCAGCCGTCCTCAGGTGAAGAACAGGTCTGTCGGGGAGACAGCGTCTGAATAAAACATATATGCTGCCAAGCCTGGTGGTGTTTCATTCAGACGCTGTCTCCCCGACAGACCTGTTCTTCACCTGAGGACGGCTGCTTGCGTTGTGGCCGAAACGTCGTGAGAATTATTTTATTATGTTTTATTTGTATTATTTTATTACTTCCCTTCTACGTGACTTTACCGAAAGAACCAAAAAGAGCTCACTGAGCTTCTAGATTTGAAGCTTTCGTGACTGCAATGATTCATATTCTTAGGTTTTTTTCGGTAAAGTCACGTAGGTAAAAAATGTAAATGAATAAAAGTAAAATTTAAAAAAATGAACCCGTAAAAACAAAGTTTTTCACTATAAATCCTTTATATGCGTGGCATCGGTTTTATTTTATTATTCGTTTCTGTTTTTCTTGAGTAAGAATATCATTTTTATCACATTGGTATTTTAAATTAAATATGAAAAAAAAAATTCCTAAAAAGTGTAAAATTTTGGGAAAAATTTTCACGAACATTAATTGTCTCGCACAACGAGTCTGTGTGCAAAATGTCAGCTCAATTGGATCACGGGAATTGGGTTAAAAAACGACCGAAAGATTTGACCGGTCGTAAGCGCGTAAGCAAGCAAGCAAGTGAACTTAATATAAAGGATTAAAAAAATACACATAAATTTCTCACTTAGCTTATCCAGCCAGGTACGTAGCTTGGGGTCGTAGTGTCTCTGGACGGCCCTCAGCGCCACAAGCAGCTTCTGGTAGCCCTGTCCTCCGGACATGAAGTGGTCGAGCAGGAAGCTGGCACACTCTAAGCCATCCCTCTTGTCTCTGACTTGGGTGTAGACGCGCCGCTCGATGTACCACTTGCTGTCCATCTCGTCCAGGAGGAACGTTGGGTCTTTGGAGATCCACTGGATGAGGTTGTCCCGGTTGCGAGAGATCTGCTCTTCGATGTCCTCCTCCACAACCACAATCTGTGCCTCGTCCTCTGTGGTGTGATCGTGAGGCAACGGGTTCGTAAAACAAAACAGGCGCGCACGAGGATTATGCGGTAGTTGAGAGAGATGCTTTTTGTCTTCAGCAGTTTAACAGAATCGGAAGTCATTGGGTAACCGACAATATTTTTTGCACATCAACAAATAGCCATTTTGCCAATTTTACATCAGGTTTTCGACAACATTTTCTAAAGCAAGCTTATAATTACATCACATACTTGATAATCATTTGCTATATATTTGATTTTCATTATGAGAGTTATTGTGGTGCCCTGTTGCAGTCAATTAAATGTGTGGACAGACAGAGCTAAGGAATGAACTCCGTCAAGCCAATGTGGAAAGCATCAATCATAAAAAATTAACCCGTAAAAACAAAGTTTTTAACTATAAATCCTTTATGTGCGTGGCGGCTAGAGTCCTCTCGTCCTCTAGCTTGAGATGGCTGCCACCTATGGGTCAGATGATTGCCTGCCACCATTAAGCAATTGGTAATTAAATATAATTTTTTTTTTCCTAAAACGTGTAAAAATTTGGAAAAATGTTTCACGAAAATAAATTGTCACGCACAACGAGTCTGTGTGCAAAGTGTCAGCTCGATTGGATCACGGGAAGTGGGTTAAAAAACGACCGAAAGATTTGCACGGTCGTAAGCGCGCAAGCAAGTGAACTTAATATAAATGATTTAATAAAATAAAAATCACGACGTTTTGGAGGCAACACAAGCTTCCATCTTCAGGTGGAACCGTCACAGCACGACAGCTGTATCAAGTGCTGTGACTGTTCCACCTGAAGACGGAAGCTTGTGTTGCCTCCGAAACGTCGTGATTTTTATTTTTATTTTACTTTTATTAATGTTAATTTTTTACCTACGTGACTTTACCGAAAAAGCCTAAGAATATGAATCCTTGCAGTCACGAAAGTTTCACATCTAGAATCAAAAGGGCCCTTAGTTAATTACGATGTTTCATCCATCAATCAGCTTTAACTTATTGTTCCAGTTTCGATTTAAAGCTTTCGTGACTGCAGGGATTCATCTTCTTGGTTCTTTCGGTAAAGTCACGTAGAAGGGAAATAATAAAATAATAAAAATAAAACATAATAAAAATTTGGATTTAAAGCTTTCGTGACTGCAGGGATTCATCTTCTTGGTTCTTTCGGTAAAGTCGTCACGTAGAAGGGAAATAATAAAATAATAAAAATAAAACATAATAAAATTATTTGGATTTAAAGCTTTCGTGACTGCAGGGATTCATCTTCTTGGTTCTTTCGGTAAAGTCACGTAGAAGGGAAATAATAAAATAATAAAAATAAAACATAATAAAAATTTGGATTTAAAGCTTTCGTGACTGCAGGGATTCATCTTCTTGGTTCTTTCGGTAAAGTCACGTAGAAGGGAAATAATAAAATAATAAAAATAAAACATAATAAAAATTTGGATTTAAAGTTTTCGTGACTGCAGGGATTCATCTTCTTGGTTCTTTCGGTAAAGTCGTCACGTAGAAGGGAAATAATAAAATAATAAAAATAAAACACAATAAAATGGCCGAAACGTCGTGAGAATTATTCTATTGTGTTTTATTTTTATTATTTTATTACTTCCCTTCTACGTGACTTTACTGAAAGAACCAAGCAGATTATTGTTCCAGCTCTATCTTGAACTTCAGACACTGCTAATATCGTTATTATTCTTAGCACACGTACCAAGGCGGTGAAGCCAGTGCTTTATTTCTGGATATTGTTCCTTGAGGTCTTGGAGCGTTTCCAGCAGCTTCTGACACTTTCGCTCGCCTCCGTCAATGAAGTAGTCGAGCAGCAAACACACGCCCTCCAACTGTTGGGGATTCTTCTTGGCTTTGGAGAGGACCTCATTTGAAACGAACGTCTTTGTGTTCAGCTCATCCAGAAAGTGCGATGGGTTCCTGCTGAGCCAACGCTTCAACTCGGGTTTCTTGCCACGGATCACGTGCAGAGCGTTCCCTGGAACCACCACGATCTTGTTGCTTTCATCTGTCAAGAACGTGGACAACGGGTTTTACACTGGTCAACAACAACAACAAAAAATTGGAGCTTTCGTGACTGCAGAAATTACTCTTTGGTTCTTTGGGTAAAGTCACGTGTAAAGATAAAATAATAAATTAAATACTAGCACACTACGACGTTTCGATTGCAACACAAGCAATCATCATCAGGCATAGATGAAATAGCAACAAAAAATCTAACCAGAAGACTATAGACAGACATACAAGCAGACAGATATCACCAAGATACATAGAGAGAGTATCTTGGTGATATCTGGTTAGATTTTGTGTTTCTATTTCATTTATACCTGATGATGATTGCTTGTGTTGCAATCGAAACGTCGTATGCTAGGATTTAATTTATTATTTTATCTTTATACGTGACTTTACCGAAAGAACCAAAAAGTAGAACAACAACAACAACAAAAACATGTTTTTCCGGCCTGGACTTTTGCAGGCTGTTCTAGACTAATTTCAGGGTGCCGATTCCAAATCTGATCTCAGATTTGCGGTGGTTCAGCGGTTAGCGCTACGCTGCCCTACGGACCTGGCGACCTGAGTTCGATTCCCGCTCGCGGCCAAGACGAATCACGATTATCTGAACCGGTCCTGGGCCTCGTCCCCTAGGTCGACTCAGCCTCAAATGGGTTACCTGGTGCGGTGTGGAGTAAACATCGCCACTGGGGGAGAGACAAAGACGGCCGGACGTGGTGCTGGCCACCCACCCCCTCGTGTGCCACAGAGCCGGTAGTCTTCATAGGTGCTACTCGCGAACAGCACTTGCCCCTACAGTCTGTTACGGGCTACACGGGGGATCTTTGTCTTGTCAGTCGAGTTTTACTTCAATGAACGAGCTGAACAATTGATGATAATTACACTGGTCAACAGCAACAAAAAACATGTTTTTGTGGCCTGGACCTTTGCAGCCGTTCTAAACTAATTTCAGGGTGCCGATTCCAAATCTGATCTCAGATTTGCTCCATCACATCTCATTTGTATGCTATCGGCATACCCCAATTTCATTGATTTTACCCGAAATTAACTCTGTCACTTATGCTTCAAGTTGTTGCAAGTCAGTGACTGCTTTAGTGTTAAAATAAGGTGCTGTATTTTTAGGACAGTGTGTTTATAATACCAGTTTATGTAGATATCCACATTTATTTCATATTTTTCTTTCGCAGTTTTTATTGAAAATGCAATATGTGATATCTCAAAAACCTGATGTGATAGACAAAAACTGATGCCAGATTTGGAATCAGCACCCACAAAATCACCTTAAAACCGTTGGAATACCTTGTGCCAGACAAAGTGTGTTGACCAGTGTTATTGTGCCTCGCTGCGGTAGAAAAGTAACGCCCAAATTTACGTCTCACCTCGTGCGGCCTCCTTTGCCAGTATTATTTATGATAGTAGGGTTTCCCTTTTATGTTATTATAGCCCAGAAGGCTCCTTACCTTGGCTGGAAATCACCGAATCCTCATCACAATTCAACTTCGCATCTGTTGAATCAATAATTCAAGTGACATGTTAAACATTATATCAAAACAAAATGGCCGCAAATTTCGATTTAAAGCTTTCGTGACTGCAGGGATTCATCTTCTTGGTCCTTTCGGTAAAGTCACGTAGAAGGGAAATAATAAAATAATAAAAATAAAACATAATAAAATAATTAAAATTAAACATAATAAAATAAATAAAATAAAACATAATAAAATAATGCAAATTCAACTTAATAAAATAATAAAAATAAAACGTTATAAAAATAAAACTTAATGAAATAATAAAAATAAACATAATAAAATTTAGATTTAAAGCTTTCGTGACTGCAGGGATTCATCTTCTTGGTTCTTTCGGTAAAGTCACGTAGAAGGGAAGTAATAAAATAATAAAAATAAATCATAATAAAACAATTCTCACGACGTTTCGGCCACAACGCAAGCAGCCGTCTTCAGGTAAAACAACAGGTCTGAATGGTTTCACCTGAAGACGGCTGCTTGCGTTGTGGCCGAAACGTCGTGAGAATTGTTTTATTATGTTTTATTTTTATTATTTTATTACTTCCCTTCTACGTCATGACTTTACCGAAAGAACCAAGAAGAAAAATGGCCGCAATCAGAAATGTCACGCATCGCGCAAAATATTCCAGTGCAGTTGATTAAATCAGCAAATGACATCATTACTGGCGGTGGGAACATATTTATAACATAAACTGAAATTTGAGCGTAAATGATAATTGTTTTTTTTACCCTATTATCTGGCAACAAAACTGACACCTTTTTTACAAGGAGTCATGTTTGCATTGACCACAATACCTGCGGTCAGAATGCAATCAAAAAACACAACTCTGATAATGTATGCACTGTCCTTGAAGTTGATTGGCCCACACCCGAGACAGATTTCCTTAGAGCCTAGTCTCACCCTGGTGTTGGACCAGATGACGCCAAAAGGCGCACAACTCAAAGACAATGCACCATCAGAGTGTGAGAGCTCGGGTTTAAGCATTTACACCATTGGAACCTCCTTTGCCAGTAGCAAAATATGATCATTGTTTTTTTACCCTTCTATCTGGCAACAAAACTGACACCTTTTTTGTACAAGGAGTCATGTTTGCATAGACCACAATACCTGCGGTCAGAATGCAATAAAAAAACACAACTCTGATAATGTATGCACTGTCCTTGAAGTTGATTGGCCCACACCCGAAACAGCTTTTCTTAGAGCCTAGGCGAGGTAGTCAACATCTCTACAGGGACATGATCTAACCCACGACATCCTGTAGACCAGGCGAGGTAGTTAACATCTCTACAGGGACATGATCTAACCCGCGACATCCTGTATACCAGGCGAGGAAATTAACATCTCTACAGGGACATGATCTAACCCACGACCTCCTGTAGACCAGGCGAGGTGGTTAACATCTCTACAGGGACATGATCTAACCCGCGACATCCTGTAGACCAGGCGAGGAAGTTAACATCTCTACAGGGACATGATCTAATCCACGACCTCCTGTAGACCAGGCGAGGTAGTTAACATCTCTACAGGGACATGATCTAACCCACGACCTCCTGTAGACCAGGCGAGGTAGTCAACATCTCTACAGGGACATGATCTAACCCACGACCTCCTGTAGACCAGGTGAGGTAGTTAACATCTCTACAGGAACATGATCTAACCCACGACTTTCTGTAGACCAGGCGAGGTAGTTAACATCTCTACAGGGACATGATCTAACCCACGACCTCCTGTAGACCAAGCGAGGTAGTTAACATCTCTACAAGGACATGATCTGACCCACGACATCCTGTAGACCAGGCGAGGTAGTCAACATCTCTACAGGGACATGATCTAACCCACGACATCCTGTAGACCAGGCGAGGTAGTTAACATCTCTACAGGGACATGATCTAACTCACGACCTCCTGTAGACCAGGCGAGGTAGTTAACATCTCTACAGGGACATGATCTAACCCACGACCTCCTGTAGACCAAGCGAGGTAGTTAACATCTCTACAAGGACATGATCTGACCCACGACATCCTGTAGACCAGGCGAGGTAGTTAACATCTCTACAGGGACATGATCTAACCCGCGACATCCTGTATACCAGGCGAGGAAATTAACATCTCTACAGAGGACATGATCTAACCCACGACCTCCTGTAGACCAGGCGAGGTGGTTAACATCTCTACAGGGACATGATCTAACCCGCGACATCCTGTAGACCAGGCGAGGAAGTTAACATCTCTACAGGGACATGATCTAATCCACGACCTCCTGTAGACCAGGCGAGGTAGTTAACATCTCTACAGGGACATGATCTAACCCACGACCTCCTGTAGACCAGGCGAGGTAGTCAACATCTCTACAGGGACATGATCTAACCCACGACCTCCTGTAGACCAGGTGAGGTAGTTAACATCTCTACAGGAACATGATCTAACCCACGACTTTCTGTAGACCAGGCGAGGTAGTTAACATCTCTACAGGGACATGATCTAACCCACGACCTCCTGTAGACCAAGCGAGGTAGTTAACATCTCTACAAGGACATGATCTGACCCACGACATCCTGTAGACCAGGCGAGGTAGTCAACATCTCTACAGGGACATGATCTAACCCACGACATCCTGTAGACCAGGCGAGGTAGTTAACATCTCTACAGGGACATGATCTAACTCACGACCTCCTGTAGACCAGGCGAGGTAGTTAACATCTCTACAGGGACATGATCTAACCCACGACCTCCTGTAGACCAAGCGAGGTAGTTAACATCTCTACAAGGACATGATCTGACCCACGACATCCTGTAGACCAGGCGAGGTAGTCAACATCTCTACAGGGACATGATCTAACCCACGACATCCTGTAGACCAGGCGAGGTAGTTAACATCTCTACAGGGACATGATCTAACTCACGACCTCCTGTAGACGAGGCGAGGTAGTTAACATCTCTACAGGGACATGATCTAACCCACGACATCCTGTAGACCAGGCGAGGTGGTTAACATCTCTACAGGGACATGATCTAACCCGCGACATCCTGTAGACCAGGCGAGGAAGTTAACATCTCTACAGGGACATGATCTAATCCACGACCTCCTGTAGACCAGGCGAGGTAGTTAACATCTCTACAGGGACATGATCTAACCCACGACCTCCTGTAGACCAGGCGAGGTAGTTAACATCTCTACAGGGCCATGATCTAACCCACGACCTCCTGTAGACCAGGCGAGGTAATTAACATCTCTACAGGGACGTGATCTAACCCACGACCTCCTGTAGACCAGGCGAGGTAGTCAACATCTCTACGGGGACATGATCTAACCCACGACATCCTGTAGACCAGGCGAGGTAGTTAACATCTCTACAGGGACATGATCTAACCCACGACATCCTGTAGACCAGGCGAGGTAGTCAACATCTCCACAGGGACATGATCTAACCCACGACATCCTGTAGACCAGGCGAGGTAGTCAACATCTCTACAGGGACATGATCTAACCCACGATAATGACAACAAAAATGTCCACGAATTGAATCCCGAACCCGTCAATCACAATAATCGATCAAATCTTGAAGGTTGGGAAGGGTGCGGAGGGGGGTGAAAATGTTAGCAAGAGGAACTTGGACACAGCGATACATACCAAGGCATTGTAGCCACTGATCAACCCGCGGGTAAATTGGCATGCCTCTAAGGATGGACAGGAGTTGTTCACACTTCTCCTCGCCGCCGTCAAGAACCAAATCGAGGAGCGAGCCAGCGCATTTTAAAGCGCCAGGCGTTCCCTTGATTCTCTCAAACTCAATGGTTGTTATGAACCTATTGTGGAGCATCTTATCCAGCAGAGAGTCTGGGTCCTTGCTGATCCACTCCTTGAGACGAGGCTTCTTCTTCCGGATGTGCCTCAGAGATGTCCCCTCAACGACCACGATGGACAGCTGGTCTGTAGGAGCAGCAGTTTCAAGTTTTCAAGTTCATTCAAGTTCATGTACTAGGTGTAGCCCTGTGAGCCATTCGGCTCTTGAATCGGGTGCAACCGTAACAAACAAAAAACAAAAACATGAACAAGAAAACATCTTAAAGTGAATATGTGACAGAGTGCAAACAGAAAATCCAAGAAAAGACAGCAAAATATTGCAGAAAAAGCACCGTTACACACCAACGCTGTGTGCAAACATCCCAGTGGGATGTAAGTCAAACAACAACAAGAAGCAGGAACGCAGTATGTAGATTAAAACACGATTATAGGACTATGCAGAGGTCACAACCGGGTACCCGATACCCGTACCCTACCCGATACCCGGCTACCCGGCCGGGTCGCAAACGGGTACGGGTACCCGTACCCATTTGCGACCCTGGTGCGGCCGGGTACGGGTACGGGTAGGCCGTGAGTCACTGGTGAGTCACCGTTTGTCACTCATTTCCCAACGTCTTGTCTCTTCTCACAATTCAAGTTCCTAGAATCAACCCACCCGCGCCTGCAACATGGCTTCATCCCAGAGGTCGCAATCAGGTACCCGATACCCGTACCCTACCCGTACCCGGCCGGGTACGGGTACCCGATACCCGGCCGGGTACGGGTAGGGTACGGGTACGGCCAGGTACGGGTACCCGTTTGCGACCCTGGTGCGACCGGGTACGGGTACGGGTACGGGTAAGGAATCAAAACCCGTTTGCGACCTCTGAGACTATGTCATCAACTTAAACTCTTAGGATTTTCGGTAAAGTCACGTAGGTAAAAAATGAAATTAATAGAACTAATAATAGAAATAAAATGGTAAATCACGACGTTTCGGAGGCAACACAAGTCTCCGTCATCAGGTGGGACCGTCACAGCTAAAATTACTGCATCAAGTGAGTGCGTGGAGATGAGTAGAGTGAGATGGGAAGGAGAGGTAGGAGAGTATTTGGAGGGGAGTAAGCCCCTTTCCCCCTTACCTGGTATTTAAGGGCTGGTCTTTAGGAATTTTACTTCTATTAATTTTATTTTTCTACCTACGTGACTTTACCGAAAAAGCCTAAGAGTATGAATCCTTGCAAGTCACGAAAGCTTCAAATCTAGAATTATGTCATCACTTCTTCTTCCGATTCATGTGTCCGATGACGTGCAATGTGTCCGTCATCGGAACAAAACCGGAAGAAAAACTTAAACTAAAATAACTTCAATTTCGATGTAAAGCTTTCGTGACTGCAGGGATTCATCTTCTTGGTTCTTTCGGTAAAGTCACGTAGAAGGGAAATAAGAAAATAATAAAAATAATAATAAAACATAATAAAATAATTCTCACGACGTTTCGGCCACAACGCAAGCATCCGTCCTCAGGTGAAGAAACAGGTCTGTCGGGAAGACAGCGTCTGAATGACACACCCCAGGCTTGGAGCGTCTATTTAAGCTTTAAGAGAATAAAGTTTAGCTGGAAGCATATTATATTTTTTGCGACATAGAATTGTAATGTATTACTTACTGTTAGTAGATCGGCTTATTGGAGAGTATATTTAGCATACTGATGATACTATGTAGTTTATACTTTAGTTGTTTACGTGGTGGTTTAGTTACTGCAGCTACATACTATTAACACTCCTTCACTTCATTAATGCTACCCCTATCCCCCTCCCTTTGATGCTGCTAATCCTGCATAATGCACGGGCATAATATGACTTTGAAACCCCCCGCCCACCTCCTACGCATTTCCCATAAATGTGTAATAAAAGGACTCGAACACTTCTTTCTGTCTTCGTGTCTTTATTCAGGTTCACGTCTTTACCCACACGGCACTCTGTTATAACTCCTGTATTCGTAGCCCCCGGCTATTCACTGCTATTATAGCTTCCTCTCCCCTCTGACTCTCTGCTTCATCTACTGTAACCTCCTCCCTGCAGACTCGCTGCTACCCCTATGCAGACTCCCGCTGCTACCCCTATGTGCAGACCCTCTGGCTGTCACTGTATGCAGACCCGCTGCCCACTCTCTCTGTGCAGCCCCGCTGCTGACTGCAGCCTCCTCGCTGCTTCGGGTCGGTCACCGCTGGCCAACGGTGCCGATCCTCGCTCCCCCCGTGTTCGTGGCGATCTCGCCACACCCTGCTTCGCCCTTCGTGGCCTTCCTCTGTTCCTGGTTCCCCGTCACTCCTCTTGCTCTTCCGGTTCCCCTCCTTCTATACTCAACCCCTCTGACCCCCACGTGACCTAACTCCTCCCCCCCTGACGGCACCTCAGAAGGGCCGTTTACAACCGCATTACAAATGTGCTAAATTCCTATTGATATGCAAATTAGTTTGTAAAGACGCTCTTCCCCCTCCATCCCAGCTTAAATAGACGCTCCAAGCCTGGGGTGTGTCATTCAGACTGTCTTCTCGACAGACCTGTTTCTTCACCAACATACAGAAACGTCGTGAGAATTGGATCATATTATGTTTAATTTTTATTATTTTATTATTTCCCTTCTACGTGACTTTACCGAAAGAACCAAGAAGATAATCTCAGCTTGTTACCTGTATAAAAGACACATGTTCACAGAAGCAATCAATCAATCAGATTCCAAACTCTCCACCATGGCCAAGACCAAAGAGCTCTCCAAGGATGTCAGGGACAAGATTGTAGACCTACACAAGGCTGGATTTTTTTTATTGTTATTCTGTCTCTCACTGTTCAAATAAACCTACCATTACAATTACAGACTGATCATTTCTTCGTAAGTGGGGCAAACGTACAACATCAGCAGGGGATTAAATACGTTTTCTCCCTCCCCGTAACTTCTTACCAAGCTCGTTGAAAAACCCCTCCATGTGCTGGTACTTGTCTTTCACGGCGTAAAGGGAGTCCAGGAACTTCTGGCACGCCATCTCGCCGGCGGCGAGGAAGATCTCGATCAGAAAGCCGACGCAGTCTTGACCGCGCGCGATCAGTTTAGCTTCGTTGTAGTCTCCCCGCGAGATGAGGCCCCTGCTGTCGAGCTCATCCAGGAGACACGCAGCGTTCCTTCCGACGTCTTTACTGAGCTGGCGCCGTTTCTCCTCGAGCAGCTGCCGTCGATTGCAATAAATCTTGGTCTGTCACGGCAAGACGAACGATCAGTCGTGGAAGTCCCCGAAACCGGGATGAACACCGTACGGAGCACAACCGTGCCAATCTGTGGGTCTCTGTGGGTCTCTGTGGGTCTCTGGGGTCTATGTGAGTCTCTGTGGGTCTCTGGGGTCTATGTGGGTCTATGTGGGTCTCTGTGGGTTTCTGTGGGTCTCTGGGGGTGTCTCTGTAGGTCTCTAGGGGTCTATGTGGGTCTCTGTGGGTCTCTGGGGGTCTCTTGGGGTCTATGTGGGTCTATGTGGGTCTCTGGGGGTCTATGTGGGTCTCTGTGGGTCGTCTTTGGGGTCTATGTGAGTCTCTGTGGGTCTCTGTGGGTCTCTGGGGGTCTCTGTGGGTCTCTGGGGGTCTCTGGGGGTCTCTGGGGGTCTCTGTGGGTCTCTGGGGGTCTCTGTGGGTCTCTGTGGGTCTCTTGGGGTCTATGTGGGTCTCTGTGGGTCTCTGGGGGTCTCTTGGGGTCTATGTGGGTCTATGTGGGTCTCTGGGGGTCTATGTGGGTCTCTGTGGGTCGTCTTTGGGGTCTATGTGAGTCCCTGTGGGTCTCTGTGGGTCTCTGGGGGTCGCTGTGGGTCTCTGGGGGTCTCTGGGGGTCTCTGTGGGTCTCTGGGGTCTCTGGGGGTCTCTGTGGGTCTCTGTGGGTCTATGTGGGTCTCTAAGGTCTATGTGGGTCTCTGTGGGTCTCTGGGGTCTATGTGAGTCTCTGGGGGTCTATGTGGGTCTCTGTGGGTCTCTGGGGTCTATGTGAGTCTCTGTGGGTCTCTGGGGTCTATGTGGGTCTCTGGGGGTCTCTGTGGGTCTCTGGGGGTCTCTGTGGGTCTCTGTAGGTATCTGTGGGTCTCTGTGGGTCTCTGGGGGTCTCTGAATGTCTCTATAAATGTTTCTATGGGTGTCACAAGGGGTGTCTGTGTGTCTCTATGGGTGTCTGTTTGTGTCTCCGTGTGTGTGTGCTGAACTTCTTTCACACCATACATAGCCAACCCTGCCAATCGGAGGTGCGGTATAGCGACTTACTTGACTGCTATCATTCGAGAGTGACATGTACACCTTTCCATCTTCTGTACGGGTTCCTGCAAGGCACAGTGTTTAGATTTCTTTTTAATATTTCTTTTACCAGCTGTGTAAGCCCCCCCCCCCCCCCCCCACTGAGCTGTGGAGTTTTTAAATCCTTTATATTAAGTTCGCTTGGTTGCTTGCTTGCTTACGACCGTGCAAATCTTTCGGTCGTTTTTTAACCCACTTCCCGTGATCCAATCGAGCTGACATTTTGCACACAGACTCGTTGTGCGAGACAATTAATTTTTAATTTTACACTGTTTATGGAATTTTTTAAATATATTTAATTACCAATTGTTTAATACTGCAGACAATCATCTGACCCATAGGTGGCAGCCATCTCAAACCAGAGGACGAGAGGACTCTAGCCGCCACGCATATAAAGGATTTATAGTGAAAAACTTTGTTTTTGCGGGTTAATTTTTCCCCGATTGCATTCATGCGTTCTTTCTTCTTGAAAGGACCTCACAGTCCACTCGTCTTTACCCAAATGTGTGAAGGGGTCGACCCTGTCAAGTTCCAGTTCATGTACTAGGTATAGCCCTGTGAGCCATTCGGCTCTTGAATCGGGTGCAACCGCAACAAACAAAAACATGAACAAGAAAACATCTTAAAGTGAATATGTGACTAAGTGCAAACAGAAAATCCAAGAAAAGACAGCAAAATATTGCACAAAAATCACCGTACACCAACGCTGTGTGCAAAAATCCCAGTGGGATGCAAGTCAAACAACAACAAGAACAACCACAAGACAACTTAGATTAAGGCCATCAGTCTAACTCTGTACTACAACAAACAAACCAACATGGCCAAACCAAAAAACTTTTGGAAAATCACCAAAAATAAAGCCATGAAAGCAATGAAACAGTGCAAGTCATAGGAACTGTGACGGAATGTTCACAATAAACGACGTAAACAACATGTACTACCAAACTCTGCAGCCACAGCTGGCTACATCAGTCACTCCATAAGTCACTGTCAAGTACGTATTCATAGCAGCAGCAGCAAAAATGCAAAAAAGCGAGTTGAAAGCGGGATTATGGTGAGACTTGAGGGCAAAGCGGACAGCCAGGGGCAGCCAGTGTCAAAGTGATGAAAAATAAGAAAGGTCAAATAGAGTAGTTGGTCAACGCCAGCTATAAATGCCTTGATAGTGCATTGTCTTTGTGCTGTTCGCCTTTTGGCGGTGTTCTCTTGTCTGACACTTGTAGTGAGACTAGGCCATAAAGAAGATATACATATGTTAGTGAGACATTATGCCTGTTAGTGTAAATGTCTTTACATTAACAGGCTAAATGTCTCACTAACATAGCTGCTGCTCCCTTTTCCTCGATGCGGCGGTGGCGCTCGTTGTTTAATCGGCTGAATGTCTCTCATCAACACAGCCGCTGCTGCGGGAGCCGTCTCACATTGACATGTTAATCTCTAACCTCTAGCAATACAATGGCGGCCTCTTCAGCACTGTAGTCGCGGGGTTACATTAACAGATTGACTTGCTAATCTCTAGCAATACAATGGCCGCATCTTCAGCACCGTAGACGTGGGGTGACATTAACAGATTGACTTGCTAACCTCTAGCAATACAATGGCCGCCTCTTCAGTACCATAGACGTGGGGTGACATTAACAGATTGTCTTGCTAACCTCCAGCAATACAATGGCCGCCTCTTCAGCAACGTAGTGGTGGGGTTACATTAACAGATTGTCTTGCTAACCTCTAGCAATACAATGGCCGCATTTTCAGCACTGTAGACGTGAGGTTACATTAACAGATTGACTTGCTAATCTCTAGCAGTACAATGGCTTCCTCTTCAGTACTGTAGTTGTGGGGCTACATTAACAGATTGACTTGCTAATCTCTAGCAATACAATGGCTTCCTCTTCAGTACTGTAGTTGTGGGGCTACATTAACAGATTGACTTGCTAATCTCTAGCAATACAATGGCCGCATCTTCAGTACTGTAGTTGTGGGGCTACATTAACAGATTGACTTGCTAATCTCTAGCAATACAATGGCCGCCTCTTCAGCACTGTAGACGTGGGGTGACATTAACAGATTGACTTGCTAATCTCTCGCAATACAATGGCCGCCTCTTCAGTACCGTAGTCGCGGGGTTACATTAACAGATTGACTTGCTAATCTCTAGCAATACAATGGCCGCCTCTTCAGCACTGTAGTCGCGGGGTTACATTAACAGATTGACTTGCTAATCTCTAGCAATACAATGGCCGCCTCTTCAGTACCGTAGTCGCGGGGTTACATTAACAGATTGACTTGCTAATCTCTAGCAATACAATGGCCGCCTCTTCAGTACCGTAGTTGTGGGGCTACATTAACAGATTGACTTGCTAATCTATAGCAATACAATGGCCGCCTCTTCAGTACCGTAGTCGCGGGGTTACATTAACAGATTGACTTGCTAATCTCTAACAATACAATAGCCGCCTCTTCAGTACCGTAGTCGCGGGGTTACATTAACAGATTGACTTGCTAATCTCTAGCAATACAATGGCCGCCTCTTCAGTACCGTAGTCGCGGGGTTACATTAACAGATTGACTTGCTAATCTCTAGCAATACAATGGCCGCCTCTTCAGTACCGTAGTCGCGGGGTTACATTAACAGATTGACT